ACTGGTCTAGTGGTGACTGCACGGATTGTAAAAGGATCTTGGTGGATACCTCAGTGCAAATGTTAACCAGGTGTGTTCAGCAAGGTAGAGCAGGGGTCATTTCCTGCAGGAGTGCACAGGAGCGGAGCTCCGGCAGTAAAGAGTCCAGGGGGTGGGCACATGCAACAAACCCCACCCCCTGCTCCCGGCAGCCCTCAGTCAGAGCAAGAAGCAGACAGTTTGGTGTAGTGGTTAAGAGCGCGGACTCTAATCTGGAAGTACTACTACCACTTCTCCTTCTTCTCTTTCTTTCTCCTCCTCCTTCTCCTGCAATCCCACATTCTGCATTGCTCAAATTATACTTTTGCTTTAGGTAGTTTGCTGTCCTCATTGTTGCTCTCATTGCCTTTGAATTTTGCATTCCTAGTCCTGTTTCATTATTTGTATTTTATGTGAATTAAGATGTAATTTAACAAAGGTAATTGCAGAGTTCTACATCTGGGTAACAAAAATTAGAAGCACACATACTGGATGTGGGATAGACGTCTAGGTAGCAGTGTATGGGAACAAAATCTTGGAGTATGGGTGGACTGTAAACTAAATATGAGCGGTCAGTGTGATGCAGCTGTAAAAAAAGGCTAATGTGGTCTTGGGGTGTATCAATAGAGGCATAACATCCAAATCACAAGATGTCATAGTCCCACTATATACCACATTGGTCAGGCTGTACCTGGAGTACTGTGTGCAGTTCTGGAGGCCTCACTTCAAAAAGGATGTGGACAGAATGGAGTGGGTGCAGAGGAGGGCAATGAAGATGATCAGGGGCCTAGAGACCAAGTTCTACAAGGAAAGGCTGAGGGATTTGGGCATGTTCAGTCTGGAGAAGAGGAGGTTGATGGGCAGCAGAGGATAGGACTGGCAATAATATATATTAAGAAATAATATTTTACAAGTGGGGATCAACAAGAAACTTGCAGGGAGGGTGTACCCCATCCTCCCCCATTCTTGCTCCTTCTCAAATAATCTTCTCAAATAATCTCCCCCCTCTCAAATAATCTTCCACCCCCTCTTTCTCACAATCCCCTTCACTGACAATCATACCCACCTCTCTCTCCCCCCTTCTCCATCAGTTTCCTCGCCATATTTTCCCCCTCCCTTTCTCTGACAATTTACCCCCTTCTCTTCCCCCCACCCTTTTCTACCAATAGTCCCCATCTCTCTTTCTTGCCCCTTCCCACTTTACCATGACCTTTTGAGCTAAAGTCTGACCAATCAAAAGTGTGTGCGGGGGGTGGTGGTAAAAGAACAGCTTAGCTGGCAAATACAAAGGAGTGTGAGTGGGTGAGGAAACTCCTCACCCCTGTCTCTGTAGCTGCTGGCTCAACTGTCCTTTTAAAACTTTCTCCCAGCTTCTAATTGGTCAGACAGACCGTGGGAAGAAAGAGTGCAGAAGCTGCCGGGGGGGGGGGGGGAAGAATCCACCCCCCGACTCCAGTGCTGCTTTTCCCTGAAGTCTGATGGATTAGATGCTGGGAGAAAGTTTTAAAAGGGCAGCTGAGCCAGCAGCTAAAGAGATAAGGATCCAAAAGAGACCCCTCACCCACTTGCACCCCCCTGTAGTTACTGACCGCTGCTTTTCCCCCCCCCCCCCACAGCAGCAGTGGTGGCTTTCCCAACCATGCACCTGCTTCTCCCCCACTGCAGCGGTGGTGGTGGGGGCTGTCCTAACTGCACACCTGCTTCCTCTCCCCCCAGACAGCTGGCAGGGCCCTCTGCTGCTGTGTTGGCAGGAAAACCCCAGGACTTGCAGTGGTGGCTGCAGCCGCAGGGCCTTATTAACTCCTCATTACAAAAAAAAATTTTTTTAGATATTTCTGCAAACTTTGTTGTTGTTCAGTCGCACAGTCGAGTCCGACTCTTCGCGACCCCATGGATCATCTCCCGCCAGGCCCTCCTGTCTTCCGCCGTCCTCTGAAGCTGGCTCAATTTCATGTTCGTTGCATCGATGACACTGTCTAACCATCTCATCCTTTGCCGTCCCCGTCTTCTTTGACCTTCAATCTTTCCCAGCATCAGGGTCTTCTCCAGGGAGTGCTCCCTTCTCATTGGGTGGCCAAAGTATTTGAGCTTCAGTTTCATTATCTGGCCTTCCAGGGAACAGTCAGGGTTGATTTCTTTTAGGATTGACTGATTTGATCTCCTTGCAGTCCAAGGAACTCTCAAGAGTCCAGTCTGCGGTGATCTGGGATCCCAGGAACGTGAAGTCTGTCACTACTTCCACGACTTCCCCTTCTATTTGCCAAGGAGTGATGGGGCCGGATGCCATGATCTTAGTTTTTTTGATGTTGAGCTTCAAGCCCACTTTTGCGCTCTCCTCTTTTACTCTGAGCAAGAGGCTCTTTAGATCCTTTTCACTTTCAGCCATTAGAGTGGTATCATCTGCATATCTGAGGTTGTTGATCTTTTCCCCAGCAATCTTAATTCCCGCTTGTGATTCATCCAGGCCAGCATTTCGCATGATGTACTCTGCATATATATTAAATAAGCAAGGTGACAGTATACATCCTTGTCGTACTCCTTTTCCTATGCTGAACCAATCAGTTGTTCCATATCCGGTTCTAACTGTCGCTTCTTGGCCCTTATACAGGTTTCTCAAGAGACATGTGAGGTGGTCTGGTACTCCCATCTCTTTAAGGACCTGCCATAGTTTGTTGTGATCCACACAGTCAAAAGCTTTAGCATAGTCAATGAAGCAGAAGTAGATATTTTTCTGGTACTCTCTTGCTTTTTCCATAATCCAGCGAATGTTGGCAATTTGATCTCTAGTTCCTCTACCTCTTCGAAACCCAGCTTGTACTTCTGGTAGTTCTCTATCCACGTACTGTTGAAGCCTAGCTTGTAGGATCTTGAGCATGACCTTGCTAGCGTGTGATATGAGTGCAATTGTGCGATAGTTTGAACATTCCTTGGCATTGCCCTTCTTTGGGATTGGAATGTATACTGACCTTTTCCAATCCTGTGGCCACTGTTGCGTTATCCAAATTTGCTGGCAAATGGAGTGCAGCACTTTAACAGCATCATCTTCTAAGACTTTGAATAGTTCTGCAAACTTAGGGGTTCCCTAAATCTCTGAGTGTGGGCCCAATCCATGGATTTAGGCATCCAGAGATCTGCCCACACTTGAGAAATAGATATATAGATTGAACAATATTTCATTTTGGCATTCAGTATTACTTTGATAATGCATAACTTTGATAATGCATAAATGTTACATGACTGGATACCATGCCAGCATAAAAGTTACTGCTTTGCCACTAAGTGCTTACACGGAACTGTAATGGATTGAAGGGGAGCCAAAGTAGTAAAGAATGTCTGTATGAGCAATAGAAATAAAGAATTCCGAGGGGAAATTCTGAGGACCACAAATATGAAACAAGCAAATGTGATCTTGACTGTTGAAAACGTGTCTCTGTAAATGGTAACATTTTAAAGAACTCTTGCTTTGTGTCAGGGGCATTTTTGTTCTCTTAAACTTGCTAATTTATGGCACACAGAGAGAGAGAGAGTGATTTGGGAGGAGTATAAGTAATAAAACTCAACGAAATTCCTATCAGAAGCACACGTTAATAAGAATATATCACCAAGACATTAAAGGTTGTCTTGCTTGGTGTGCATTTTCTTCCATCAAATGAAGAAGATGGAGAGTGTTATAGATAAATCACAATTATGTTACTGGGATTTAATTAGCTCAGCATCTTATGAAGTTTTTCATCAATGTCGTCAAGGCATTCATTCAGATTTTGTTTCTGTTTTTTCTATCCCTGCCTATCTAGTCTTAAGTGTACATTATTGATAGACTATTATATGTAATGCAAAAAGAACTGCCACTGGTAACATTTTGTTGCTGTTTCCCGCCTTCTAGCAACCCATGTCTTGTTCCCCAATGTTCAGAAGCAGCAGTATATAAAAGACTCCAGATCTTATTCATCATTGGAAAAATCTAAAAATACAACACTTCTAAAAACTGAATTGCATAAAGCAATATCTTACAGCTATTGATGTCCTCACTCCAGTCTTCTTTTAACTAAGTGTTGGAAACACTTCATTGCTTCTGAAGAAGTGCACTCTAGTCTACTAAAGCTTATGCTGGAATAAAAATTGTTTGTTTTAATTGCCATTCCTGTTTGGTTTTGCTACTTAGACTAAAGCTGCGATCACACATGCTAAATAATCCACTTTCAATTAACTTTCAGTGCACTTTCCAACTGGATTTTTACTGTGTAAACTGGCAAAATCCAGTTGGAAAGTGCATTGAAAGTGGATTGTTTACTGTGTGTGACCGCAGCCAAAGTATATCCTTTCACAAGTCTATTCCTCGAACAGAAGCCTCTGCCTATCCTTCACATGGCATATACTCTTCCCTTCATCCACATGGTCATTTATTTCATATGTACATTTGGCAAATCCAAGCATCCTATTGCCATTTCGGTCTTCTTTATTGAAATTACTTCTTCCTGCTTCCTGTTCAGGGTGTCTAAAATCAACATGCCATGCCCTAAAATGAATATGAGAAGTCTGCATTCTATAAGTATCTACAAAAATATTTTTCTCTTTTGATTCCTTGTGTTATGAAGATCATAACGTTGTATGCTTCTATACACTGACAGTAGCAACATTGTAACTGCTTTGTCCTACTTGCATGTCTCCCCACATCCTTAAGGACTTGGGAGGTGCTTCTAAGGAAATTGTGATCTCAGCAATAGATGCCTTTTGCTGATAATGTGTGCCCTCTTGGGACAGTGTTGATAACTAAGTTACAGTAAGCATATCCCTTTTGCTAGCAGAAGAAACGATACAGTGTAATGAAAAGTGGGAAATTATTCTCCAGATTTTTTTATTTTTTAAAAAAAGACAACTATGTGGGTTTTCTGTCCCTGAGGAACTTCTCAGTGCTCAGATACCGTATTGAGTATATAATTGGATTGTAGCTCTTTCTGAATACTGCTTTCTTCTCTTGGCAGCATGGGGTAACCTTGGAAATGTTCTAAAGAGCCAGAGCAAGATTTCTGAATCTGAAAGAGCCTATAGAAATGCCTTGTATTACCGCAGCAACATGGCTGATATGCTTTATAATTTGTAAGTATGCATGGATTTTACTTACAGTGGTTCATCTATGATGCTTCTTGTGAATTAAGCTATTTATTTAGTTCCCGGAAGTGGAAATGATCTTAGCTGGGGGGTTTTGGGGGAGGGGGTGATTCCCCCTTTATTAATCATGCATTTCAAGCTCTGGGATAGACAGGGCCTTTCTGTTCTATACATTAATGGGTCATCATGTATTGAGATTCTGTTATGAAGTGAGTAGCATGAGCTGATTTCCCTAGTGATCCAGTAGAGTGCTGAGTTTCTCAATGGCCCTTTACATCCAACACTTTCCCCAACAAAGAGCATATATGCTTGCCAGTAACTTGATTGCCTACCTTCTGATGCAAGTGAAACAGGGTTGCCAGGTCCCCGTGGCAACTGGTGAGAGGCAGGGGGGACTCACCGGCAGAGGGTGGAGGTCTAGCCAGTGTTGTGGCAATGCAGTAATATCACTTCTGGCACACACCAGGAGTGACATTATTACGATGTGGGATGCTCTGGTATTTGGCAAAAATTCTTTGGTAGAAGCCATTTTTACGATTGAGTTTTACCCAAATACCAGAGTGTCCTGTGGCGCCATGGTATTACTTTTTGAAGAGTGCACCAAAACTGGCATAACTAAATCGCTGACAATGTCCCTGCCATGGTGGACTGGTCTATTTCCCACAGCCAGTAGGTTTCCCCTGCCACCTGATTGGCAGCAGGGTGCAGTGGTTGGATGCGGGGAACTTCTGCCCCTGATGGGGGCTTGACAGTCCTAAGGTGAAATGCAGAATTAGGTACCATCATTTTTAGCTCACTGGCTGCTTATATTTATTGCTTCTGAGGCCAGTTCTTTAACTTAACTTTAAAGCCACAAATGGCCTGGGACTTGCATGTTGTTGGCAATTACTTCCATCATATACTCATCCATCCCATCTGAGTCCTGCTAGGGAGGCCCATTTCTTTGTGTTCTCTCTCCTTTAAGTGAAAATGGTAGGATTCAAACAATAGATTGTACCATATGTGAATCAGTGTTAGAATGAAGAAAAGAAATACAAAAATGAATAGTTCCAAAGATCAGACTTGTTGAAGGAATTGTTCATAAGTATGTTGTAATGCAGCCCTCAACTGGATGGCCCAGGCTACCTCAATCTCATCAGATCTCGGACGCTAAGCAGGGTCAGCCCTGGTTAGTACTTAGATGGGAGATCACCAAGAAAGTCCAGGGTTACTATGCAGAGATAGGCAATGGCAAACCACCTCTTGTTCATTTCTTGCCTTGAAAACAATATGGGGTCACCATAACTCGGTTGTGACTTAATGACACTTTCTAGCACCGTACTGTAATGCAGAATCACAAGACGTGGGGTGGATCCTACCCCTATCCTTCCCCTCCACTGAGCAAAGTCTGAAGCCTTCCTCCAACTTGTGGCCCTTCCCCAATGGAAGAAGGCTACTTGGAAGATGGATTCACCCCAATAAATGTAACATTCAGGTGAACATTTGAATACTTAACTATAGAAGCTGTATATTTTTAGTGGTTTTGCTATGTTATTCTATTTTGCTATTGGAATTCAGTTCCATTAATTGCCTCTAGGAGGCACTGTGGCTTTGAATCCTATGGAGCTGTCATGATCTGGGCTGTGCAAACAAAGGCCTAGGATGCCCAAGGAGCCTGACTAGCAGTGGGAGGAGACAGGCCTGCAACTCCCAGAAGCCCCTGAGAGGTTTTGGTGTAAATTTTAGCCAATCACAGAGAAAGGGGACTTACAATAAAAGAGCTGGTACACTCCTTGATCTAGGTGTCTCTGGTGGTCATCTGTGAGGGTGACCAATGCTGTCTCCATCCCATGGCCGGGGGAAACTGGACTAGAATGGATCAGGGATTGATGTCTCATCCAGAAAGATCTGAAGTTTCCCAACCACCACCCTCTCAACCACCTTACCCAGGAATGTCAAGTTCGATACTGGGTAGTAGTTGGCCAGGACCGCGGGGTCAAATGATGGCTTAAGAGCAGTTGTACCATCGTCTCCTTTAACACCACCAGAAAGGTCCCAGATGAAAGGGACAAGTTGATAATCTCTTCCGGGGAGGGTCAAACTCCATCCCCACAGGCCTTAATTAGCCAGGACGGATATAGGTCTAGGAGGCAAGTGGTAGGCCTTACAGCTGTCAGGATCCTGTCAACATCATCCTGGGAGAGGCTGCCCAAAATGGTCCAAAAATGGACCCAAAGACAGACAAGGGGCTTCCAGTTCCATTACTGTATCTGCTGTGGAGGAGAGGTCCTGGTGGAGTGATATGACTTTATCTGCAAAATAGATCTCAAATGCCTCTCAGCCAGTAGCCAATTCTCTATTATTTTGTTTACCTTGAGGCAGTTCAGTTAATGACCAAATAGTTCTAAATAATTGGTCTGGGCAAGAGCTCTCAGACATAATGGAGGCTGCATAGAAATCTATCTTCGCAGTCTTCCCTGCCATAGGTTTTCATAAACGTTCTAGCCATTTCAGCTCTCTTTTCATCCTCTGTTACTCCTGGGTATACCATGAAGCTAGTTTGGCCCTAGAGTGTAAAAGATACCAGGGAGCAATCTCATTGATAGCTTCAGAAAACTGGGTATGCCAGTCTTCCACCAGCACATCTAACAAGTTGCCAGGGGGCATTGGCTCCCGCAGAGCATAAATCCACTCCCCGCCTAAACAGGAAGGGCTTGGTATGCTCAGCCAGATGGGAATTCCCCTCCTCCCCCCTTCACCTGCAGCTCAGAATGTTCCCGGAAAGGCTTCTCTTGGGAGCAGAGGCACCCCAGAACATCACAAGGGGACAACGAGTGGTGTGCAACAGGAAAGGGAATATACAAATCAGTCCCCCTTCCATTGGTGGTAACCATGGGATCCGAGCCTGATACCTTCAAATTCCAGTAATAATAATTTATTATTTCCATTTCCCTTTACAAAGTCCCACTCTAAGTACATATTTATTATGTGTTCTTTATTATAATATTTTACTGATCTGAACATTTACTATGCAGCCCATGTTTTCTGGCATCACCTTTGGGGATTTTGAAAGTTATTTCCTACTTTTCAGGCTTTTGACATACAGAATGTTAATAAAAATACAGCAGTTGGTGGGGCACAGTAATAAACTCCCTTGAGAATTCTTGGTTTGGTGCCATTTAAGCAGTCATCAGTGAATATACTGCTTGATCTATCATTTACCTCTCTGTAAGCCTCTCCTCTGTATGTCTCTTCTGAACACTCTAGTTCATAACCGTTCTTCTGGTTTGTTACCTTGACAGGTATTGCTCAGATATGGCTATCTCTTCAGTATTCACTCTTTGCAAAGACAGAAAAGAATAACTGATTTGGCTTTTCTGCAGTATCTTTGGAATCCTGTGAGGCAAACATACATTCTGGCAGATGTTTTGCTTTAAATAATTATATTTTTCACATCTATGTATAGTTCAAATGCACCGCTAGGCTGTCTGAACAAACCTGAACCCGGGCATTGCCTTTCCCCTCCTCTTGCCCAATTCTCACTTTCCCATGTGGTTGGTGTCACTGTCAATTCCTGACTTCTGCTTCACTGCAAATCATAGTTTTCCATTTCAGATATAATGTGCTCCCACTCCAAACTATGCATCGAACCATGCTTTAATCTTGGCTTCCAATTCTTGTTTGAAGGGGAAGCACAAATGACAGTTTTCTAAGCTGGATGTTATTGCAAACTATAGTTTGCACTATAGAAGTGTTGCATCTACACACTGTTGGAGATTGCACTCTTGTTTTACTGTAACAATCATTTGCAACATAATATTTTTCTTTATGGACAACCCATTCCAGTTGCAAATTATTGCTGTATATACATAAGAATGCATTATCAAATGATGTGTGGATGCAGCCCAGAAGTCATTACCTTACTCTTACCATATAATTAGGAGAGAAAGGAAATCTGTAAGCACAGGGTCATTCATATGGTGCCAAACCATTGTTTGATGTTAGGTATGAACTTGGTATATCTGAATCAGATTTTGTGCTTTTGAATTTTCCTGGTCTGATTTATTACCCCCCCACCCCTTTTATTCGATGGAAGCATTTTTACTGGGTGCATTTCAACTATCTCTGTGCTTAGTCCTTTCCTGGGGCAACTGGCTGTTTCCAAATAGTGTAACAGAAACCTGAGGCTTAAAAAAAGAGAGTAAAATTGCCCTAGGCAGCAATATGCCAGCTAGCTCCCAGACAGACAACTACATGTTGCTCATATCTATAACTTTTTAGTGTTTGTTTATGAGGTTTGTTTAGTGTTTGTTTAAGCTAAATCTTAAGAGACAAACATGAGGACCTTATGTGAATTTTAACTCTGTTAAACTACAGTATCTAAATGTTGTAGTATGTGAAATTGTCCTCATTTCTAGAAAGCTATACATACATATACCTCCCCCTCCCCAAATAGGGGAGCATTGTCTGTGTTTGCAACAGAAAATGTGCCTCTGGTTGGCCCATCAAGGGAGACAGAGGAGGAGGGGAAACCTCCAGGTGTGAGCCAGGTAGACAGAGGGAACCAGCACTGCAAGTGGGCTGGGGAAGAGTGGGAAGGGGGACAGCAGGAGCGGTCACTCCCCACAGTCCCACGAGGTGAGAGACAAGCTGGGGCAGGCAGTCAGAGTGACGGTGAGGTAGAATGGGTGATGGGAAAGGTTGGTGAGCCAAGGGATAGGGAAGGGGACAGGCAGGCGAGCAAAGCACTGGTGGCAGGCAGAATGGTGGGGAGGGTGCAGGTATGCAGAACAGCAGGCAGCAAGGCAGAATGGGGGAAGGGGTTAGGCAAGATTCCCCCTCTCCCATAAGTTCCTTGTGGGATCTCCCAAGTCTTGCAGGTCCCCTGCTTCTGTTTTATAGTATTCACATATGCCAGTCACCCAGTCAGCTCTAAACGTGGTGTCTTCCACTTCTGGAAGATGCTGCTGAAGCAGACACTTAATATCCATGTCTGCAAAACAAAGGTA